AGCATGCCTAGTATATAAGTGTGTATATGTTATCTATGATATAAAGTTCAGCTAAACCTTACAAAAGAATAGAAGGAAAAAAAACAGACTTAAACGCCATAGTGTTATATATCTCAAGTTCTCTTCGTCTAAATGTATGATATAAAAAATGTTGAAGGTGTTAAAAAACAAATTTCATTCATCAAACTTATAGTGTTAATTGACAGCGTGTGCATTAAACAAAAGTAAAGAAAATGTATCATTCTTCACAAAAATTCTAATTGTGTCTGAAAAATATTTTCGTTTAGTCCTTTAGGAAAACACAATTACTTCCCTTTAAAACGAAACATTACAACAGGGAAAAAAATTTACTTTTTATTTCTTTGCTTTGGTGTTGGGAAATGAATAATTACATAATTAGCGTAGATTGATCAAGTGAAATGTGGTAAGTAAAACACAAATATTTTAAATACTGCCTAATATTAATTGTTCTATACACTGAACGTACTGTTTACTAATTACTTTGCTATGGCTATGGCTATGGCTATGGCTATGGCTATGGCTATGGCTATGGCTATGGCTATGGCTATGGCTATGGCTATGGCTATGGCTATGGCTATGGCTATGGCTATGGCTATGGCTATGGCTATGGCTATGGCTATGGCTATGGCTATGGCTATGGCTATGGCTATGGCTATGGCTATGGCTATGGCTATGGCTATGGCTATGGCTATGGCTATGGCTATGGCTATGGCTATGGCTATGGCTATGGCTATGGCTATGGCTATGGCTATGGCTATGGCTATGGCTATGGCTATGGCTATGGCTATGGCTATGGCTATGGCTATGGCTATGGCTATGGCTATGGCTATGGCTATGGCTATGGCTATGGCTATGGCTATGGCTATGGCTATGGCTATGGCTATGGCTATGGCTATGGCTATGGCTATGGCTATGGCTATGGCTATGGCTATGGCTATGGCTATGGCTATGGCTATGGCTATGGCTATGGCTATGGCTATGGCTATGGCTATGGCTATGGCTATGGCTATGGCTATGGCTATGGCTGCGGCTGCGGCTACGGCTACGGCTACGGCTACGGGTGAGAGTGAGGGTAAGGGTAAGGGTAAGGGTAATTGTAAGGGTAATTGTAAGGGTAAGGGTAAGAAGACAACATCACGCCATTTTAACCACAAAAAAAGAGAGACAACTATGGTTTTGATAAATATTCAAATATATCAAAATTGTCTCCCATATTTAAAAAAAAACCTTCAAAGTTTACTTGAGTTACTTATGTTACGGTGTGTTTATCTTGGCTTAATTATTTCACGGTAACAATTAAATATGTAACATATATTTAACTATATCACCTGGAAAAGCCAGGCTGCTTTTTAAGCACTTACATTTTTTTCAGTCGATACAAGGAGGTAACCTGTATTTTAATTATTGCTAGTTTATATTATATTCGAGTTACAGCCCTCAACAAATCTGAAAAATAAATCAATACCAACTCTTACTTTTTATTATAATTCGCAGTTTAAAGAGATTTTATGAAATAAGGATACATACTATTTTTTTTGGCTTATTTCTTTTCGTAACAGTAAGAGGAAATTTATAGTTCTGATTTTAATTTAAAAATTCTTTTCGAATGTTCTATTTTCTTTAAAGTGCAGTACCATAATAAGAAAGCCAATAAAAATGTATATTGCGTTTCGGTACACATCTAAATGAAACTATTTCTCCCCCCCCCCTTTGTTAATATATACTGCTAAATGATTTGTAAACATTGTTAAAACAGTAGTAGGGTAATTTTTGTTTCAAGTGTTTAATTTAAATCGTTATCAAATATTCTCACTAAAATGTATACAATGTAGTCATTTTATTTTTATTTTTAAAGAATAGTATCAATCTATACATGATATAGGGTATAAAAGGCGGAACTACAGTGCCGCCAGACCCACCGGACAGTGGAGGGGTTGGGGAGGCTGTTTAGAGGGTGGGCACAGACGACCATAAAAAATGTTTTTTTTTTTAATTTAATTTAATTTTCTTGAATTTTCGCCATGATGTTTAGTTTGTAAAAAATACTGAAGCTGCGGTACGATTAACTTTATTTTACGGTCACACTATCATACTCTACCGCATATATTAAAATCCATTACAAAAACTGTTGTGTAAAATATAGGCAAAACTTATACTTTTAATGACTTTTGTGACTCGTTGCTCCTCTTTGATAGCCAAATAGGGGACAAGAACTGCTCGACCGATCCTCCAAAGTTGACTGTGGCGGATGAAACCGGGAGGGGGACCAAAAAATGTCGTCAAATTTATTTATAAATTTTAAAAGTTTATATTTGTTTTTTATCCACCGTCAAGGCTGAGTTATATCTCCCCTAAAATCAAACACACGCCGTCGTCGGCGAAATTCTTTGGAATGAAAACGAAGCCCATAACTTGAGAAGCCGCTAGATATGTTGTGGGCTTTTATGGTGTGCGGTACTTCTTTGCGGCATTGGTTAGGGGCCCGAAATCACTGTACATTTTTCAATGTTAAGTTAATAAATGTTGTGATATATTTATGTAACTTCTATCATGTACTATTCTGTATCCTACAAATAATATAAATTAATATAATACTTTAAACTTCGTCTTTATATACGTTTACTTTTTTTATTTTACAAGAAATTACATAGTAAACATTTAGGACCTATACTTTGAATTATCTCCCCTGAGTGAGTTTTACAATGGGCGATGCTGACGTACATAGGCGCTTTGTTGTCTCTTTCATGTTTTTTCCCGAGTCGACCCCCATCCCTACCCTCTTTCTTAGCCTAGCAAGTAGATAAATGTATCAATTATGAACTACTTCCTAACCGTACATTCACCACTTCAGCACATTTTGTCAGACACTCGTCAGCAGATATTAACTTACTTGCATAGTATTAGGTGCATCTAATCCACAAAAGGGGGAAGATAAGATTATTTTTTATATAATTTTTTAGAAATGTATAAGAAAGTTTAAAATTAATCGAACATTATTAATAGTCAATAAATATTCATAAATGACGTCGTTACGGGGGATTGGGAGGAAGGTGTGAGGTTCTGGCTTTTTGCAAGTGGTGAAAACAGCGTGACGACATTTGTGGATGATCCCTAAATCAGAAGTTTATCCGACGCGTGAGCTGGCCACATACAGTTGTACATGTGAAAAACATGTTTCTGTCCTTTATGCGTTACTACATCATTCATCGGATCGCCATTTGGAAGCTGTTTAGTACAACCACGCAAATGTTTCTGTCATAGGCCTAACATTTGTTTACATACTGGAGGGGCGGCGGCCCAAAGGAAATATTTGATTTAGTGCCCCGAGATACCCAGTGGCTATCTTTGCACCTGAGATCCACTTATTGTGAATAATGCTTAGGGGGAATAGGGTTACTACTCGAATCCACCGACGGCAGTGTTATTCGGAGCGCCCCACATATGATCATTTTGGCCCCTAAAGTCGTTTAAAAGGTCACACTACACCAGGGATAAGTCTCGCTACTACATTCGATGACTAAATCAAACCTAGGGTTGCACCCATCACCCGTGTAGTAATGTAACCGGTAGCTCCCATGAGCCCCGTGACTCCCCTGACACCTGGGCCGTCGCCGAGGGACTTACACCATGTCTTGGTATGTCTAGTTGGTAGTGTGGACAAAGCCGCGCCCCAACATCTAAGATCAAAGAATTGAACTGACGACGTTGTTAACATTTATTTAAACTTCTGGAAAAAAAGGCACACGTCTAAAAATATATTGACGTCAGTTTGATGTGTTAGACTAGATTTGGTGAGTCTGTGCATCTTACTTGAGAAATCGTGTGGGGCCAACTCAGGGGTTGGAAAATCTCTGATGTATTCGTGTACCAGATGGAGAAAAAAAAACGTGTCCATAAGAACTCGAGTGAATTCAATATATATATATATATATATATATATATATATATATATATATATATATATATATATATATATATATATATATATATATATATATATATATATATATATATATATATATATATATATATATATATATATATATATATATATATATATATATATATATATATACATATATATATATATATATATATATATATAATGTATGTTATTACAGCCACAGGCGCTTCTAATTTGGCAGGCTCCTGCTTTTGGGCAATAGAACACGGGGGCCGTTGCCGGTTGGCCGCAAAATCCAAGAAGAGAGGATAAAAGCTGACTTCGACTGACCGGCGCCTGATATGAGTTATATATCGAAAAAAATCTATTGCTGAACGACCCATCTTGATATTTTGTGAGGTCTTAGAAAAACACTTAGGGTTGTCAGAAAAAACTCGCGTTATCCTGAAAAATCTGCAATATGGTCAAAACTGACCAGTCGTATTTCCCTATATGATCTTTGTAATTTATGGGAAAAACAGAGGGTAATTTCAACAAAGATTTTAGGGCAATTATCGTCTGTACATTTGGCTAATTTTTGCATACAGCTCTATAGATGATCAGGCCGTATGGAAAAATATTTCGTCAGAGTCTAAGCCCTCGACGAGGGCTAAAAATTGACCGCGAGTAAAGTTCCCCTTATTTGAACTATATAAAAAAAGAATAAATTTGCCGAATGATCTCCATAGTATTTTGTGAGGTGACAGACTGACCCTGGAAGGTAACAAAAAAACGTTATTACCGTCGGAATAACCCCTAAGGGCATTTATATTTGTCCAAACGCAGTATTTTCTTATATATATATATATATATATATATATATATATATATATATATATATATATATATATATATATATGTATATATATATATATATATATATATATATATATATATATATATATATATATATATATATATATATATCATATATAACACTAGACATTTATAAAACGAAGTGGATAAAGAACTTTATGAACTGATTCTGAGACGTGAATATCCAAATTTAGAAACACGTTTTTTACTCAACGCTTCAATGCGCAACGCACAAAATAAAAAGAGGAACGAGCCAGGCCAAACACAATTTATACAACATATTTTAGTCAGTATTCCAAATGGTAGGGTTCCTAAATAGACTGGGAATAACACACTGATTATTAGGTAATTAATTAGGGGTCGGCGTGGTCGAGTCGGTAAAGCTCATGGTTGCTAAACCGAAAAGTTTCGAGTACGAACCCTCGGGCAAGATGAGGCTCGTTAGCTGGGGACAGCCACTCTTCTAGGAGAGACAACTCCAAAATCAAACAACTGCTGCCTTGTAGTTTGTTCTTGGTTGGATAAAGGCTATGGAAGCAAATCCAAAAAGAAAAGCATGCTGAAATCGGAGTCAATCGCCTCAATGGCGCAAAACCAGTTGAAACGTATCCTTAATTGTGTTGGAGGGGGATCAGCACTATGCCCAGCCGCCTTTATTTCCCTAGCGTGAATTAGGTACCCATCAGAGCTGGGTGGACTGATTTGAAACTGATTCGAACTCGTGCCTCTCGGGTTAGCAGTCTAACTCCCTACCACTACTTTAATTTACACATTTACAGTTTAACGGTAATTTGTACACCCTAAATTGGATAAGATTATCTACTGTGATAATTGACATATGTTGTAATTAGTTAAATTTAAATGATCTATTTCTAAGACCCCATCTTTAACCCAACAAGCCACTCAATCCTTGAGTTAAACGAACAAGCAACAGACAACATCCACCAACACGCTACAGGCGTCAACATCACACGGAAGGGGATCAAGATTTTGGTTTCAGGTACGTGGTAAAGATTTTATGTTTGCTTGTCTGTTTTGTAAGAAAATAATAAATTTAAAGTGACGTATTTATTTATTATCAATTGCATAAACGTTACAAAAAAAATTGATTATTCCTGCCTTTTTCTTCGAAAACGTTTCTACTAATTGCTTCAATTCCTGTGTCGACGCGTAATTGCATTCTATTGAAATGAGGTAGGTGATGAGGTAGGTGGTGGGCTTTTTCACCAACGCGAATATCTAAAGGGCCTTTATAGGGCTAATCTGGAAAGATGGGGGGGGGGGGGGGGCCCAAAAATTGATAATTCTTCTTTGGCGCCTAAATAGATCGCTACGCCTTTGTATGTTACTTTTTATTACCCTGTCTATAGTTTATATTCATGTAATTAAAGTAATTAATTATTAGGTACTTTTTAAAAATGGAGATACACATTTTTGCTTCCACTATGGATCGCGCCCTAGGTGATCGCTTAGTTCCCCTTATATGTAGCACCAGCTCTGTGTACTAGGTTAACTGTAACGATATCCGAGAGACTTGCTCGACTGGTTCCTATTTAATGATGGCTAAATATAGATCTATTACTACGGCTTCAAGGTAAATTCCCCTATAAAATCATATTGACTACTTGTAATATTTTCTTCCTAAGTTTGTAAAATGCTTTTCAATAAGAAAAATATTGACAAGATAAATAAATATAACGCAAGTTACACACACACACACACACACACATACATATATATATATATATATATATATATATATATATATATATATATATATATATATATATATATATATAGGCCTATATATATATATAAGTGTGTGTGTGTGTGCCCTACTGTACAGGTAGGAAACACAAGGCAGTAAATTGTAATGGTGTATATACATTTTTAAAAAGGAAATAATATTTTTATGGTCTTGGGTTTTATGTAACGAATGCAAGTCTAATCTGAAAATAAATCATATTTAAAGGGATGTGTTAGTTGAATATTTTAGAAAAGGGGTGGGGCGGGAGGGGGGGTTATGATGCTGATGAGTCGTGGAGAGTTGTCCAGGGAAAGTGAAAGGGGGTAGAGATTATGTAAAAATTTTGTATAATGAGTAAGGTTAGCATGAATTTTGATGATAGCATTACGTTAGTGTTTTTTTTAACAGTGTTGCTAGTTTAAGTTTTTTGTTTTTAATTTCTAGTGTTAAATGGGAAAGTTACTAATATATTTTTAGGTCTACTTCTTTTAAATATAATACTAAGTCCTGGAATGAACAATAATTATTAAATGGATTATCAAAGATTCATAAAACGTGTTGCATCAACTAATGTTTTAAAGAAGAAATGTAAAATATTTGCCCGTATCACAGAAAATTAATGATTAAACAAAACACTTTTCCGTGACAGTATTCAGAGAAGTCCGATTTAAACAGTGTTGTATACGTTTTGTGATGGTGGGATCTCAAGAACCGGGTGAGGGGCTTCTAGTGTTTCTGACCATAGATACCTAACGTAGATTAGGTCAAGCCTTACTTCCTCTGAATTACTGTGGTAAATTGTTAATGACTGAACCGATGTACCGCGGTGTAGGACATGTCTTGTGGGGGGGGGGGGGGGTGATGTAATAACTTTTAGATCAATGTGGCGAACTTTAACCCTGAACGCATTTTAATAACGCCATTTCTTCTTTCATTTTAGGTTTGTATTTCGTGTACAGCAGCGTCAACTTTAAGCCTAATTCCACACGTTTTTCAGCTGACTTTCATTATCAGGTAGACGCCAACGAAATCTCAAATTTTAAAAATAATAACTTAATTATTTCATGCATTAAATTATATTAATTACGTTCATGCATTTCAATAATTAGAATGAAATTATGTTTGAAAAAAAAATGCAAATTTGTTAAAGTTTATGTTTACATTCAATATTTGAAAAGTGAGCAAAAAGATACTTAATAAACCACGATAATTATCTTTTTTTTTTAAATATCGTATCTGCTTCCCAGACGTGGTTCCAGTACATCAGCAGACGATCAGCCACCAGCCCAGTTTTATCTGGCGTCTTATTGAGAACTGTTCACACCTGTTGTAGCAACTGTACAGGTACTCAGGAGACGGCTTATACAGGTGAGATTTTATGTTAATTAAGTTAATGTCACGGAAATATTGTGATTAAAAACTGCCTTTAAAATGTGTATGACATACGCAATCTTGGCAAAACCAGATTGTATTTTGCTGCAAAACAGATTCTTGCTAGCCTTGGTCGAGTGGTACATCGTTTATTGCTGACCCGACAATCTAGAGATCGGTGCCTGTGGCCCGATTTCGTAGCAGATCCATGAGTTCACCCAGCCTTAAAGGGTACCTGGCTCGATTCAGGGAAAGTCGTCTGGTAATAGTTTTATCAGAGAAACAGTATCTGCTCCGTCTGGTCTAAAATAACACCACTGCCTTTTACTACTTGCAATAAAAATCAGTATTTATTTTCAATGTACCCTTTAATTAGTATTCGCATTTAATTGTATTTAATTTTTTTTATGCAGGTGGGTTTTTTTACCTGCTGAAGGATGATGTGATACAAATGATTGTATCAGGTCAAGGTTTAATAGATGTTGGTCCTGGAGTGTCGTACCTTGGACTGTTTTTGTTACATTGTAATGGGTAGTAAAGATTTAAATATATAAACACACAATATAAATATATACTCATTAATGCCATCATCAATACAAATCTAATGGATATTAAAATTGTTACCTAAATGTGCGTTTAGTTGAATCATAGTATGCGTCATATTGTATGTTGTAATTATCTTACGAATTGCTAAAACAAAACCAAAACTAGTTTATTTAATAAGTGAAACGTTCAGAGAAAACTAAACTTATGCATTCTATAAATAAGTGGTACTAAAAGAAAACAATGTGTTTCGGAGAGAAAGCAAGAGAAAACGGAAAATGTATATATATATATATATATATATATATATATATATATATATATATATATATATACATATATATATATATATATATATATATATATATATATATATATATATATATATATATATATATAATTAGAGATTGAGAGCTAAAGAGAAAGCAAGAAAACGAACTTACATGAGATTACATATTTTGTGTATGGCATAACGCGTGTTAGTGTTTATGTGCAAGTTTGTCTGAGTGTCTGTGTAACAATCAAGTAATCTTTGAACGTGGTAGAAATAATACGTGTTATTTATATATTAAGTAATATGAATCATGGTGATTTTTTTACACTTATAGCATATAATTTTTATATTTTAAATTATATTAAAATATTATTTTAAACTTTAAGTTTTGATGTTGTTGTGTTTTCTGTTAAGTAGCCAGTTTAAATAAATATCGCTTTATTTATCTAAAATCAAAGAGTACAATTACAAGGCTTCTAGAAAAAAAATATGACCTGGGAATGCAACATGCATGTCATTCAACTATGAAATACATTGTGATACTAAATACAGTGTTTTGCATTGTTAACATACATGACATAAATTAAGAAATGTACAACTGACTGTTGTCGTATTAACTTGATAAAACATGTTAAAGATGTCCAATGGATTTGTTACAATATAATTGTAAAATAAAGACGCTATGGCTGAGTAAAACACAAAATTTGACCCACAAATCTTAACTGGTTTTTTTGTAAGCTGGTGTTGTCAATTGATAAACATACAGTCACGAGTATACGGGTTTAAAATCCGAACTGTTTCAAGATCCGAACTATATTGTGTATTAGACCGGAGAGAAAGCCAAAAGCCTCGGGAAAACAAAAACATCTACGAAATGTTAAATTATATGTACTTTCGCAGTCTGTCAAAGAAGAATTTACAAAATAGAAAGTCAGCTAAATCAACCAGGATATCACATTTAGATTGTGAGGGTCTTGAAACATAAATAACATACAAAATACTTTATTTAGTAATATCGATTACTGTAAAATCTAAATGAGATGTGAAGTTACGTCATAGAGCAATATTCTTAACTACATAAACAATACGTTGTAGCCTAACTACTTTGAAACAAACTTATCAGTTAGGCTTCTTGTGGACTTGATGTAGAAACACCGATATTTAAACATAACAACTACATTGGACAAAATACAAAGAATTGATACACCATTGTGATTGATATAATGAATTAAAATTATACTATTAGAAAAAAATCAATTCTATTTCAAGCCTGACAATATATTTGACTACGAACGCAAACAAATAGGATAGTAATATAACAATGTAGATGAAAAAAACAGCATTTCGGCCTTCCGCTAAGTCTACTTTTAAGATACTGATATTTCCTGCTAAAGAATCTGATAAAGTCGGACTAAAGCTCTACAATAAAAAAGAGCAGATAGTTGTTCATGTTATGTGCCTTAGATTTGATTCTGGAACTTAGATTTGTTTTGTTAAACTCTTGTATCATGATATATCTTGATAATACAATACTGAATATATTTTTAAAAATCTTCTAAAGTATAGTTGAATGGTTACATATAAGCCACAGCCTCAAAACAACTCCGTCCCAGGCTGCGTTGACTAGATGTGTCTCTAGAACTTCCTGCAGCTCTGCTGTGAGTGAATATAGGCCACTTGTTTCCCAGAAAGTAGACCAAAGCCCCACTACTACCTGGACATGTTTGGTTTGTGTACGTGTATCTAGCAATACCGTTCCCAACATCTTGCCTGTGCACCCAGTGACCTACAGAGACCTGCTTAGAACAGCCATGAGGATGTGACACAATAATGGTCAGCTTGTCCACATCTCTAAGACTCCTGTATTTGTCCCTTAATTCCAAGCACACATCATAAAACGCTTTCAATTTCTTTTCTATTTTATCAGCCAACTCTTTATCATGGGTAACACAATAGAATGAACACCAGTCTAGATCGGACATTGATTTGCATATGGTCAGACCACTCAATGTGACCATAGGGCTTTCATCATCATCAAACCATAATCTACAGCTAGACTGGCGTGCTTCCTCCTCATCAAATACCACATGGGACACTGTGATGACCTTCACACACCACCACTCCTCTCTCGGGGTGTTGGATCCGTTACTACATGTAGGACACGGGCAATGGCTGTTGGTAGTCTGATCCGTTACACAATGTTTAACACCACGGATCCCTCCAGTACCTGTTTTCAGAGACTTCTGTCCCCTGGTCTTGTAGCAAGGATATGGATATTTAGTACCTGGTACAAACTCTGGTCTACCTGGACTTGTAAAGTTACACGCTATTCTCACAGTAATGTCAGCCATTGTTTTAGTTAGTTTATACACGATTTTGTCTTGGTACCTATCTGGGAGATGCATAATGCTAAACTCATTTACTGGTATAAACTCTGTGTGCCCGGGATTTTTTTTACAGTTAGCCAGGTGCGTGTGTAAGTCGGCCTCACTTTCATCTTCAAGACATTCTTGTACATCGGTAGAATCTAGAAGTTAGAATGTACTACGTTACTGTAACACAGACATAGATACACCTACACCTACACCTACACCAATACATACACCAACACCTCCAAATACACCTGCACCTACACCAATATATACATCAACACCTCCAAATACACCTGCACCTACACCAATCCATACACCTACACCTACACCTACACCAATATATACACCAACACCTCCAAATACACCTGCACCTACACCAATACATACACCTACACCTACACCTACACCAATACATACACCAACACCTCCAAATACACCTGCACCTTCACCAATATATACACAAACACCTCCAAATACACCTGCACCTTCACTTTTACCCGCATACTCTGACGCCATATACATACTGTTAATCAAACCCATTCGCTTACGCATATAAAGAAAGGAACTATGTTCATAGAAAGTACCTGAAAGGTAGAAATGTCCATATTCACTTTTTAAAGCCCTGTTTGTGAACATTTTCGCAGCTCTGCAACTATGGTATTAACTAGACGTAATGATCAAACAAAACAATATATTTAACACACATTTTCATAATGCTACCCGTTATCTAACAAAGGGAAAATAAAAAAAAACAACGACGATGAATATGCAGATGAGCAAAAAGTACAAAATACACACCAGCACAACAGCAATATATACGAGTCAAGTAAACGCAAAAGTCTAAACTTGTCCATTATATACCTATATTTACCGACGTCATAAGAACAGTTAAATTCCAATTCACCTTCCCTTTTGACAGTTTGGTCCGAAATATTAAGCTAAATTCTTACTTACTACCCTGCTATACGTTTATAAGCTTCGGGTTATAACCACTTCAACAGAGATAACAGGTAACATTTATGTTATCTATAGCATGCGAGATAAGAAGTTTTTTTGCGAATTGACGTCAGTAAGATTTGTTAGCGCAAATCTTTCTTTTAGAAGATAATCTCTAGAGATAAACTGTGCAAACATTAGGGGGGTTTAAAAGGTAAAGGTGTAACCGAAAGATCGATTTTAAAACTATTTGATTGTATCTCTGTATTGTTTCACAAAGTATATTGTAGCTATGTAGGTTATAAGCACTAGCTTTTTAAAAAAAGGCGCCGTAAACTTCCACAGCACACAACATGTTTAGCCGGAGTTTCGGCTGATAGTTTCATTCGTGTAATAGATTATGCAGTTAATATATAATCTTTCAACCGTTGACTTCTACTGATTCAAACAATTGATTTCATATTTCGTCAAAATAGTATGTGGCCTCAATCGTATTTTTAATAATACAAAAAGAGCTATCGCAATGTGACATATTCCTGCTGTTAAAATAACATTTCAACAACTATTATGTAGACGAATACTTTCCCAATGCAGATATATAAGAGTAGAATCAGGCCGTTAAGAAAAATATATTTTCTGCAAGACAAAGTCAAATAACTAACTATTGAGATGGGCTGGGTAGTGATTATAGAATGCCTTTTATCCAACCTTCCTCCTCCCCTTCTTCCCACTCCTACTGACATTTTATGGACACATTTTGTACGGTTATAATAATTGTACGTGTACAAACTACTAGCTGGTTTTCAGATACAATTATTTTCAACAATTCATGTATATTAATAATAGGTGGTTAATTTGTATTTAGGTAACCAGATTATTAATCTTTTACCCGCTAGAAGATATTGATTCACCTTCAGTCTGTTCAGGAATATTTTATTTAATAGGTCAAGAAGTGACAGATAAATATTCAGGACAAAAAACAGCCTAGTATTATGTGTGTGTAATATTGTGTGTAGGGGTAGGTCTATTACTGTGTTGTTTATACACGATAATATGGCATTTCTGGATTTTGAGAAAATTCAGCCACTTATTGCACCTGGGCTAGATAAAGGGCAAATGTGGGGAGAGGAGGTGGATCGTAAACATCCTATTAATTTTCTGGAACTTAATTGCTCCACGCTTAATTATCCCCCCTTACCCTCTCCGTTAATTACTCCACCTACCACTATATTATCCCGACCCAAAACAGCAATAGGACAGCGGTAACTTTTACGGCGACCGTAACGATGACTGTAAGGCGGGCGGTAATGATAAAGGCAACGACACAGTGTATTTCTTTTGAGATCGCAGTCTTTCCTTCACTCCGTATCCACTACCTAAAGATTTGATAAACAATCGTTGTATACTGACTAACTAAGATTTAGTTTAAACATTCAAAAGACCAATAAGAAAGAGTCTGTGTGTGTTTTATGTATGCATATAAAGTATGTGAGTTTGTTTTATGTTTGTGTCTCCTTTGACAGGGTATGTTTAAATCCAATTATAAAATACATTTACAATTCTATGTGTATTTAATTATTAAACGCTTGATCACTTAGTAGTTATTGATTTATGTTTGCCATTTGCTGAAGACTATAATTTAAGAAATCAATTATCGATCAAATACAATCTAATATTTTAAAACACAATAGGCACCCTATTGATTTTATTCCAAATAATGTAAGCCGAACCCATACGATCGTTAATTACTGACCTGCCGATTTTCTCGATTTTTAATTTCTCGTATATACGAAGTATATACCATTGTAAATTGTTTATATATCTAAACATACTGCCATATTGCTCAAAAGGTCAGATACGACTAGAGGTATTTCATCGACAACGTTATAGTTGACCCCCTTAGGGGTCATCCATAAATGACGTCAAGCTTTTTTTGACGATTTTCACCTCTTCCCTCCGTCACACATCGTCACAAAAAGCCAGACCATCCCTAAAATGACGTCACACTTCAGTCTACAACCCCCCTGAAAATGAAAGTTGATTTTTTATTTTAAAACATCGATATTTTTCCAAAATCTTGTCTGAACTCTGTCAAAATAGAGTATTTTAATCGATTCCTATTACAATTTATTAAAACCGTTTCTAAAAAACGAAATAAGTGCTAAAATTCCGTTTTCTAACATTACTTTTTGTTAATGCAACAATGTGACGTCACACCATCTGGACCCCCCCCCCCCTTTCCTCCCACTCATCACACGCCGTCACAATATTACGACCCCCCCTTCCCTCTACGGGTGTGACGTCATTTATTGACGACCCCTTAGAGACTTTATTTATTAACGTCATTATGTAAAAGAAATCAGAACAGTAAATATCAAACATAAACAGTGTACGCCTAGTAACACTCAAAACTAAACGTATTTATTTGATCACAAGCACGATATAACGTGTCGTTACTTTGGTCGGTACAGACAGGTATGAACACGTAGCTCGTGATTAGTTCATGCCAGAGGTGGCCAAATGTTCCATACAAGATGTTAAATTTGATTTTTTTTTAAATTAATAAACAGGTGTATACCACTTGAATAGTTATGTCAACGTTTTTGTGTTGTGACCTTGGATCAATATTTCAACCTTTGTCACTCCACTTCTTCTTGAGATCCAACTTGGCCTTTCAAATGTTAATTCTTCTAACCATAGCAGTCACCGACTTGGCATTGGCAAAATGTGTTTGCCGGGGCGGATTAAGCTTTAAACAGGGCCACTGGCTGAAATCTTTTGGGGGCCCCTACCATTTTTTAATAAAAGACGTCAGATTTTTAATTGCTGCACTTGATTACCCTAATATGTATTTCAATCGTCATAATTAAATTAATAAAATCAGCAAAATAATTTTTTTGGCAATTAAAAAAAAATTCTAGCATTACGTCTAGGAACAATGTCTCTAAACTACGACTTCAAAACAATGAGCATAAAATGATTACTTTATCTAAATTGATACGTATGACTGGCTTGGTTGTTTGCGCAAGGGTAAGTAATGTAATCCAAGCGGTAGAAGGTTATCCATAGGTGACGTGACGCTATTTCATTCGATCTTGATTCCTAAATGGAAAGGCAAAGATAAATTTGATATAAAACTCGCTTAGCACTAATAGACAATAAAGTCATAACTTAGTTTTGGTACAGATCCGTTCAAGTTTTTTTTTATTCCTCTAACCTGTTTTTCTGTAGGCTTAAATAAAATTTTAAGTTTCAGGACAGCTAAAAAAAACTGGTAGGAAACCCACGTCTTATACAATAATATCTACCATGAAATAAACGGATTGCAAACGTAATGGCTATAAAAATATATAAACAACTGAAGCTAGAAGAAACCAGTTCTTGTTTTTGAGTTTTCTTAGAAAATAGTGGGGCTGTTTACCTGGAAGTTAACTCGGAGCCAACGTCATGTACGAATCACCTACTGGTAGGCGTCAGTGGGTAAACAGAGCGTAAATCCCGTGGGACTTATGTGCTACATAGAACAGGTTGGGGCAGTGCCAACAACACACCGGAATATAGAAGTATTTATTATTTATGCAGGCGTAGTTTTGCTTATATTTTCATACTGATTAAATATCGAAGAATAAAAGAAGTGTCCAGACTGAAATGTGTGTAAAAAAACAAGCGATGCTTTCTGTTCCTTTTGAGCGATTTTTTTAAATAGCAAGCTCTAACTTCAACAGAACAATACAATTTTGGCAGCGTCAATGATAAAATGATCGGTAAGAAAATAATTATTTATCGGTATGTGTTTTCTTTACTGGTATCATAGTATCAACATTAAATGAAGCAATTTTTTGAAAAATATATGCATTTAATACAATTTAAATAAAATATAGTTTGTTTATATATATATATATATATATATATATATATATATATATATATATATATATATATATATCAATATGTGTGTGCTCTCCGAAGTTTGGTAATATATAAAATTTTCAATTAAACGACTATATGTAAATATGGACACTTGAGAAAACATAAACGCAAACGCCAACATAAACGGAAATATAAACACAAACAGAAACATAAATGCAAACATAAATTCGCATAATCATGCTAATGCAAACATAAACGCAATTATAAACGAAAACATGATAAAGACATTAAGTAACGGCTTCTAAACTATACTGATTAAAACAATAGTAAGTAAACAGTACATTTAGAGTATAAACTAAATGGAGGTAGTATTTAAAGATACCTACTACGTCGAAATAATTTATAAATTCTAAAATTCTTTTCCAGCATTAGAAAACTAGATAATTGTCTTCTTTTGTCTTTTGTTGTTGTTTTTTTTTCAATTTACCTCGATAAAACGAAATATTTTTTTCGGAAAAATATTAATTTTTGTTAAAGTATAATAAATTTAGTTTGATTTTGTTCTAAGCACTTTCAAAAAACGCACACTTAATTTAGAAGTGATGAATATAGAGATGTCTTTTTTTTTAGTTCACTTTAAATATTACCAGAGGCGTAGCGAGAGGGGGGGGGGGAGGAGGGGTACATCTGTCTCCGGGCGCCGACCTTAGGGGGCGACAAAATGGGTTGATAAAACAAATTAAAATCTCATTTTAGCTGCAGTTTTGCATTATAAATATAAAAAATATATGTGAGGGGAAGGGGGGGGGTTGCAAATTTAAAGATTGGGGGGGGGGTACAAATTGAAAATTGATAGGTTGTTCCCGAGGGGGGGCGCCAAATTGAAAAGTTTGTCCTCGGCGCTGGGAAGGCTCGCTACGTCTCTGAATATTACGCAACGGCGGTCAAGTCACGTTTTTAACTATATGCATTTCATTCACAGGTCCGTCTTTTCGACACATACAGAGATATACACATTCCAATTAGAGCTTTAATTGTTAGATACAACAATAAATTATAAAAAAAAACGATTTACATAACATTAAAGTGTGTCGTTGGGAATAAGTAACAACACACACATACTCACACACACACACACACACACACACACATAAATGCAGATTTTTAAAAGTGCAGCCTATACAAGTAGCATTGGCAAATATGTTCTTGTTTTTTAATATTACTAGTGGAAAATATTATGTCTTCTGTCTACACATAAATGAATTAAATTAAAATTATCTAGATATTCTTTTTGTATAAAAAACATATTCTCTTTAACAAAATAACACACAGACATAAACTAATATATAACATTTTTATTAGATTTTTTAATAATAATTCAGTTGTTACTGTTTTAAATTATATTTTAAAAATTTAAATAATCGAAAATATATAAATTCATATAAAAAGATACACATTAATGCTTAAAAAATGACTGTAAGTTTACTCTGGAATTTCTCGTCATAAATATTTAGGCTAAGTACTTTATAATTATTTTGGTTAAACGCTAAACATTTGTTGCGTCAGTTTTGTTTATATGACAAGATTGGGATAGACTATGATTCTTTTATGCACAAATGTGTGGCCAGCTTACACATCGAAAAAGCTTGGAATTTTTCGTGTTCTAGACAAAACAACAAAAAAAGCACTCGAATAAATATAGCAAATGGAAACGACACTTTTAAATCTTTTACATATTAGGATAAAAATATATTAGAATCTATACGTTTTCTTTTCTTCTAAGAACACAGTAACTCGCGACGGGTGTGCTAGTAATACTAATAAATGCGCTTGAGTGTTTGTGTAAGTCGGTATGTATTTTTGTAGATTAATACATAACCGCAAAACGTTAATATATAAAAGACATATTAGCATAATATAAGAAGCAGCTCTAGCCCACCAATTTGTAATATTTTATAATAAAATGCTATGATAGCAATATATTTTCAGGTTGGTTGAAACAATGAGCAGCTTAAAAGAAATGGATTTAGTTTTATTTGGAGCAGTAGGAAACGGGAAAACAATTTTTATGAAATGTACTCATCCTTATCTACTTTGTCTCCAGCTCGTTACGACTGGAACATATTTGAAGATCGACTGATACAAGTAGTTGATACGCAATATCTGAGTAATAGTAGGGAAATGGAAGTATCAAATAACAGGGTAATAGAAGAGGCGTTGTTGACTAATCCAGTTGGATACCATGCCTTTTTGTTTGTTGTAAAATTTGGCTTCCGATTTAGTGAGAGTGACTTAGAAATATTTCAGAAATTGAAAGTGGTTTTAGGAGGCGACTGCATTAAAAACTACGGAATCATTGTTATGAGTAATGGTGATCATTTTAAAATTTGTAATACAAATCAGGGCATTAATTTTGAAATGTATTGTAAAAGAGAAACTGGCCCATTAAGAAAACTTTTGGATGAGTTCAGCAACAGAATTGTTTTATTTGATAACATTATCGATGACGAAAAGAAAGTGAAAGAGCAACTAAGGAATTTGGTTGAAATGGTGGATCGTCTCCCAACTGACGGTAAAAGATACACGAATGAAAATTTCGTAAAGGCAGCAGAAAAACTTAAACACGTGTATATTTCTTCAAAACTACCTATAATTAAAAAAGAAACCTTTCTGTCTTTGAGACTAATTTTAGACGACCTCAAAAGTTGTAATTCTGAACTACACGAGGATACAAGAATACAGGACACAAAAGTACTGCACGAGCTGTTGGATACATTAACACAGACCAGAAAGAATGTAAAGAAACAAATAAAACTCGGTTATATAAATTTAGAGGAAAAAGTTACGTTTAAAGCTACAGAAGAAAATATTCAAAAGATGGAACAAGATATAATAGTAAGAAATAATAAGAAAAAGACTGAACAAAATAAGCAAAAGGAAAAACATGAAAAGCGTATACAGGAAGAATTGAAAATACATGAGCTGCTACAACAGCCAGTTGACACGGAAAATGCAGAAAAGGAACGAAGCGAAATTAAAAAGAAAACGAAAGAACAAACGAAACCTCTCGATGATAAAAGCGAAAAGAGAGACGAAGAAATTAAATGCAGTGACAAAGAAGAAATAGATCAAAAACATGCTGAAATTGAAACTGAAAAAATAGAAAATGAGTTAAAACAAATCGAAGCACAGTACTTAAAAATGAAAGACAAAGTAAATGAGGAAATCTTAAGCGCTTGTAAAGGTGTGCTATAAATAGTAGTTTCCGATGCAGGACTTCTTTAAGCCGTTAGACAAATACTAAAATAGAAAAAAGTAAGCTAATATATGTATATAACGGAAGACGACTACGTATAATATAAGAACAAAGAGTACTAGTAGAAAAATACAAAAAGCACAGCATGCTCATATCGCAACACCTGAATAAAATGCGATAAAACACGCAGAAATTGGGCTTTACAAATGCAAAATGTGCTACCCGTGCTTCTTTTTAAAAATGACAACCAATGCTTCATAATGTTGAAATACACTTTGAAGAAGGAAATGTATACGATTGTAAAACTAAGCTTTTTGGCTTCGGAAAGTTTAAAACGTCTAGATTTTTGTTCAAAATCTTAGTTTCGTTTTTTTATGTACTATTGCATTACATCTTTTACATTAGTAATACGATAAAGAAAGGAGGTGGTTAAGCAAGGCAAGGTGTAAAAAGGCGAAAACTATCAAAATCTCATTTACTTTTTGTGTAAGATTAAAATACTTCCTCTATTCACTGTATGGAAGAAAGTAAACAGGTTATTGATTAATTTAGTTACCAAAGGAAAATTAATTAATGAAAGCAATACATAGTATTAAATTACAAAGTAAAATCAAAACTTCTTTTTTTTTTTTTTTTTTTTTTTTTTTTTGCAATTGAGAAATTTCAAGAAATAAACTTTTAAAATATTCTAAGCTTTCTTGTATTGTCTTTATAAAAATGGTAGTCATGAATTAAATGTTTTCCCCCCGTATATAGGAACCCAAGAAATACAAGAGTGTCTCAAAGGAGAAAGTGAGATTAACTTACAAGATCACATGACCAATTGTACGAAGAATCCGGGTCATACAGCGTTCATACCAGTCAATAAATTTTCGCTTGACAATCTACCCAATGGTTACAAAGACAAATATTTTGTAAAAGTCACTCAAGCTTTGTCTGACTTGACGGTCAGGGTTGCTGTCAATTTCGTTAGTCCACGTCGACCAGAGTTTATACCAGGCACACAGGAACATTATGCAGGGTACAAAAGTAGGGGTCAGAACTTGCTGATGACCGGAACAGGAAGAATATATCAAGTGATTCAGAACAATGAAGGAGTGTACGGCAACAGAGCGTGCCCATGCCCTGAATGTGACCTCTCCGGCACACCCAGCAAAGTGTGGTGGGAGGTTGAAGTGAGGACAGCCAGACACGTGGTGTTTGATGAGAGTGAGGTGAAACAGTCCAGCTGTAGATTATGGTTTGATGATGATAACAGTCCAGTGGTCAAGATTTATGGATGGGAAGTGGGTGATTTTTCGACAGAAGAAGATTCATGTGGGCTGTATTATGTAACTCACGAGTTACATATTGCTAAAACTCTCGAGAGAATGTTAGCAAAGTTTTTAGATGTAAGTAAGAACTTGTCAGTCAGAAGGCAAGGCAGCGATCTGGACAAGCTGACCATCATAGTGTCCCATCCTCACGGCTGTTCTAAGCAGGTCTCTGTAGGTCAGTGGATGAAGCGGGAGGAACTCAGGACATATTTAACCAGGTTCACATACACCAACTGTACTTGCCCAGGAAGCAGTGGGGCTCAGGTTTATAGACGCGGGTGGGCTTTGGCCCATCACCCACATAGTACAGCTCTATCTGATGGATTAAACAGTGGAATGGTCAGATGGGAAGGCTAATACGTATGTGAATTGTTTACAATCATGACGACGCTGAGTTAACATAATATCATACGTACAGTTTTTAATGAACTATATGTATCGGTGCTTTTTTATCAAACCATTTTATATTTTGTATGTGACTCAGCGTGTTGGTATTTGTACAAGTATCAGAAATGTGCATGTTGTAGAAATTAAACTATTTTATAAACATCGTCATCTTTTCCTTTTTGTGCCTAAGTTTGTGTATAATAGTGTGGAATATTATTAGTTTATAAATTCGTATACGTTTTTTTTGTAAATCGGAAATAGCGTAATGTACCATTTTTGGTCACCAGAATTTTGTCAACATTTGACAGAAGGCAGAAAATTAGATCTTTTACTTTCGTGTGAAATTTCGTCAATCTATCTGAAACAATACTCAATTTATAGACTTTTAAAAAACCAAAAGTAGAATAAGTACCACTTTCTGTTAACTGAAATCGCCGAAAAGTCGAAATAGAACTATACATTTGATATAATACTTATATTATATTAAATTTCATCAACAAAGCTGTAACGGTACTCAAGTTATCGTGTTCACAGACACACACATACACACACACACTCTCACACACACACACAGACATACGAACAAAATTGCACAACTATATTATTCCGTTTTCGATTTTTTGCATGGTTGCAATACTTCCTGTATACTTCGTATACGAGAAAGTAAAAAGCAGTGGGGACAGAACACATCCTTGTTTTACTCCTCTCTTAACCATAATGGGTCAGTGATATATGATGATCGGTGTAACTTGGGGTTTGTTTTTCTTACAGTATTGTCATTGTCTATAAGATTGCTTTCACAACTTCAACTTACCGTTTTTACAGCTGCTATAAAGCTGCAAGCATAAAAATTGTCCATATCGATCTCACGGTTCATGGGGCTGGTGAAGAAGGTTTGTTTCAATGACAACGTAATATAAATGGATAGAGTGATCAGCACTATGACCAGTCACCCTTACTTTCCCTAACGCACGTAAAGCACCCATATAAGCTGGGTGGGCGCTCAGGCCACGGTGTCCCCAATGTGCAAACTAATTAGGTCCAGCTTTAACACAATATTGAAAATAGTATCATAGAGGCTTTGATTACAAGCTACGTTAAACAGAGCAGGTCAGCCCTAGCTGTCGCAGGATTGTATCGTGGTCGGTAACCCCCGATATTTAGACCTAAGTATGTACCAATATAAAACATTTGTCTTTAAAGTGGAAATAAATATTTCTTAAAATAAGACTTTCATATAATTTTAACTAAAATGTAAACAAAATTCTTTCACCACTCGTCAGAAACATTTCTCGCTCAAAAGATAACAGCTGCAACGTTTTCGTATGCGCGAATAGATAAACCCATGAAGCCTTTCAGTGAGTCATAAATCTATCTTTTGATATTTAATAATTTGAGGAAAATAGTTATACATTTTTTCATACACTTGATGATCAAAACAATAAAGATCACTTGAAAGTTAGTCAACAAATTATAATTATGTCAGATCCACTTAATTAACTAACATAGAATTTTTTTAAAGTTTTATTTTATTAATAAACTAATTATAGCCTATTACCAAATGACCTATTCACGTAAAAAGTAAGGTTACCTTTCAATTCTTACGGTTTATGAGGCCAGTGAAGTAGAGTTCACCTGTTTCTTAAACTCGGCATATGAAAGGAAGGTTTGGTTTTTATCACTAAGCACACATGTCTTTCCTTTCCGTAACGTGAGTTGTGTACCCATTAAAGCTGGGTGGACTCATGGACATTCTATTGAATTAAACTCAAAATCGAACTCTAGATTTCTAGTACCTACTATTAACTCAATGTTACTCATAATTGAAGAATTAAAGCTCTAAAAATAATTTTAAACAACATGAAAGAAGCAAATTTATTTTAAAAAATAAAATTTAAAGCCTTTTTTGCTGCAGCTTTTGTCACACATTGTTACTGTTATTAACGAATTAAAAGAAAAAGCCGAAGGAGTCGAGATATCAGATAGCGTAACATAAACCAAGATGGATTTCATGAAGAAAATACAGCTAGGCCATGCCGTTCCATAGTGGATGGATACACTATCAGTAATCATTAGACAATAACCGAGGCAGCTGTGAGTATTCTCCCTGCCCAGTAGCGGGGGGGGGGGGGGGGGCTGGGAAAGCGGCCGCTCCCATTACGACCATTTTTAAGGATAGACCGCGCCATTTTTTGGAGATTAATTAAATAAAATTTAAAACAAGTTCCCCTGCACACAAAAAAACTAAACAAAAACCAACAACAGCAAACACATTACTGAAACTACGAATTTAAAACTGTCATGTTATGTACCCTAAATATTACAGTTTTAAAATGACTCAACGCATGTAGATCTATACCCTACTTATTGGCTTACTTATCGGCTTACTTATTCTTCTTGCACGTCAACCACCCAAAGATCGATCTTCATTCACAAGTGTAATATTTGCTTGATTTGTGAGGCTCAATTCAGCTATACATCTTGATTAACTTCGGGTTTTTAGATCAGTCTAGAAACGTAGAATAATGGATTGCCTAAAGTGTGCCCCGTAGAAGACGATTTACATTATTTTTTATATGTCAATACTAGCAGAAAAGAAATGAAACTAAGGGTCCCTTGCTTGTTAGCTGATCTAGAACATTTTCCAAAAGTATCTTGTACATATTTTTAGATGGATTGTGTTAAAAATTATATCAAACATATGGGAGAGGGAGAGGGAGGAAGCTGAATAAACGTGCAGAAAAATTAACACATTCTCACAACTTGGAGATTATCAGCACATACTGATATACTTAACGAATATATGTTTAAATACCTCGGGTTAATTTAGTTAAAATAATATAAAAACACTTTGGATAAGAGTAAAACTGCCTCCGAAACATGAATATGCACACTTTAGGTAAAGAATCACTATAGTTTTATATTTACAATCAGAATCATAGCTTTTTAAACAGCCAAAATGTGAATTTTGCTTTCGCAAGTAGAAGTAAAAAGGTGTGTGTGCAAAACAGTGATCAGTGTTTCTTTTCTTCCAGACTTAATTTCTCCGGGGGAGGGGGCACTTGATATTTTCAACATTTTCCGGGGGGGGGGGGGAAGCAATAACATATACCAACTGTGTATATGTATATATATATATATATATATATATATATATATATATATATATATATATATATATATATATATATTCATATACCAACTCGCCGCACCCCCCAGCCTTTAAACCTGTATAGCCTATTTGCCTGCCCTATGTTATGTGATGCATAACAGCACATGTTACCATATTATTAGATTCCTCATATGCAGATTACTAAATAGTTTTCCGGGAAAATAAAGCGTGAATGTCACATAGTCACGCATCACATATGTTGCCACAACAATCATCACTGCCGAGTTAAACTGTACATTGCAATTGCGTGCTCGATATCTGCATTACAAAAGGTAGGCTACATTTTGTTTAGATAAACATTTAATTAATAAAGTGGGGGGGGGGATGTTCCCTAGTTTTCCTGTATATTCTTATATAACAAAAAGGGTTGGGATCGTAAACAGCGTAAAGAAATACTTCCGGTCAACTGAAATTACTCAAAATGTGTAAATTACATCTTATAATTATGTTTAACATTGTATCCACTTAACTGAAATGGTGGTCAATTTATAGGTATTTTATAAATCAGAAATGCTGCCAAATATAGGTCTCTTAAAAAATTGAGTGTAATCCAAGTAGAGCATATTTACTTGTATGTGGGTTCGTTTACCTGAGTGAAAATGTAGTCAAGTTATCGTATTCCCACGTAAATAGAGTGAAGCACCACTTCATTAATCATCTTAGATGCGCATGGTGGAACAAACACATGTGAAGTAAGGATAGACAACTCTGCCCTTTTCATTATGAATATTCAAAAGAGCTCCTCTTGGAAACCGAATTTCACATGATCAAATCTATCGTGAAATCTTGCTTTATAACCTACGCAAAAACCTAGAGGACTACAAAAACTACATTAGGGAAATTGCAGGAATTTATTAAAGCTGGCTTAGTAGAATTCGACATATTGGCTACCCAGACACCATCCCTAATGGCAACATTTGGCACAAGACTTACTTAAGTCCAGGATAGGAAGAAATAAGGAAGGGAAGATTGGGCACGTTATGAACATCATCAACACGCACCACAAGACAAGCGCTGGAGTTGAACTCACATGACAAGCGAAGGAAATGCTGTCAAGAACAACATAATGACGTGAACTAGAGGCCGACACTAGTAGGTTTGGTTGAAAAAATCGCTGACAATGTAATGTTTTGGTGGCTCATGCCCCAGGTGGGGACGGGCAGTAAGTAAGTGAAAGGTTCAACAACGTTTGCGATTAAAGTAATTGTTTAACCTGTTGTACGTGTTTAAAAATAATTCACGTTACATTTAGGTTTGTGTCATTTCAAAATTAGATACCATCGCAGATCAGTGGGGTAAAAAAATGTTTTGGTTTCCCGTTATATTTTTGTCCAACACATCAAACCATTTCTCCAAAGAACGTTTACTCTAAACTTTAGTGTGGAGTATTCTTGGAGTAGATATAATAACTAAATTCGTTAAGTTGTAACCAAACATGATAGCATTCTGTCGTCCATTCTTTTATAACAGATTCAGGACTATCTTTTCAGTCAACATACATCTGACCCAAAATTATTTGTATTAAATCTGGAAAAGACGTTATTAATAAAAGTCATACCCATACACCTACGCAAATGTATATATGTTTACACCATGTAAAAATTAGGGTATATATATATATATATATATATATATATATATATATATATATATATATATATATATATATATATATATATATATATATATATATATATAATTACAAGCTGTATGTCATTACTTCGCTATGATGTAAAATAAATTGAAAGTAGCACTCTGAAGAAATAAGAAAAAACACACAATGTAGGCCGACAAACAAAAATTGTATCAATCTAAAAAAAAAATATACACACACTACAACCAAAAACAATGAACGTAACACAATCTGTTTTGTAATTCTTGTAAAAAAATTCTTACATAATAATTCCTGGGAAATTATTTAAGACAAGTGAAATAGGGGAAATAATTACTCTCTTAATATAAATATGTATATATCTACACATTTAATTATAATTGTCAAAGCAAATAAATAATTACTTTAGAATATAATGAAATTGTTTAACACTATTCGTGTTTACAAAATGTTATTTTCAATAATCAGAATTTAATATATCGTCTTCATAAATGCTAAAGTATTACAGCATAATGAAAGTTTTTAAAATCAGAGATGGTATAAAACCACACTCAGAGTGAACATAGCGTCAGTTTTTAGATGACTGGTCTAAACATACATATATATTACACAAATATGTATTACACAAATAGGCCTACATATTACAGAAATAGGGAGGGGGTTGTAACTGTTTCATATAATTTGTAATCGTAATCACTAACGTCCAAACTTAAGAATACTACTACTTCATCGTGATGACGTTATTGACGTGGTCAAAATTTCCCCACCACTACTCAGTTTGCTTATAAGTAAATTTAAATAGAGGTGCTACATCAGCTGTATTTGTTTCTGTATTGTAATTTTTTTTAAATTGATCACACGATTCAAACTGTATATATAAAGTAATTATGTGTGAAGTTTTATGTATAACATTTTCTAATTCAATTATACGTAAGAAAATACAATTCACAGTTGCCTTAAACTTAACACCCCTCTTGCCAAGTGATACTACCCGTAAAGGTTTTTTAAACATTGCAATGCATCGAAATGGTTATTTTTAGAATGGCAAACTGATGCAGCTGTTAATACGTTTTGTAAACGTAGACACTACTACTACTAGACTAGTACAAAAATGCTTTATTGCTGCATGAAAAGAAATCTTGTGGTTTACATAGATGTGCCGACCAAAAATATTTTTTTAAATAAATATCATTGTTTAAAACTTTGAGTTTAAAAAGTTTCCAAAAAGGCGCCACTTTGCTGAAAATGGCCAGAGGGGGAGCGGCCGCTCCCTCTGCTCCCCCCTGCGTACGCTACTGGCCTGCATACATAATGTTTTTGAACTTCCTCCTGGCAGCCATGTTTGCCCTACCGAAGTTTCTGGAAAACGTATTCAAAGCTTAGATTCTGTGTATGATCTTATTGTGACCAGAGGTCCTTTAAAGGTCAGAGGATAGATTTTGTCACAAGCTTTCGTACGGCTTGATTGCTTGTGTTTTTTATACGGTCATGTTTGGAAACGTGCCAACACCAGTTTTCTTTTTATTGTATTCTTGAACCGTTGCCCAAGACCTGATTACAGTGTAATTTGACCCGATCTTTGTCACAATGTCATACATCGTTAACACCTGTTTGATTTATTTTATTAAAGATTTGAATATAAAGTAATATTAAGTTACTTTTATTATACCCTAATGCAGGTTTGGAAAGATGTAGACTGAAAGTGCCTTGCGTAAATATTAAACATAGAGAACATACAACGATTGCTAATTGGCGGGCTGCCAACAGCTTATTTATAGTTTTTCTAGAAAATGGTCGGGATATTTATAGAGACCTTAAGTCATTGCGGAAATTCCCGATCCACATTTTAGTTTTCCTCTATAATGTAGCAGTAGTTTATATGATGTGGCACTGGCTCAATGACATTTTCTCCGCACCCCCCCCCATTCTCACAGAGGCGTAGCTAGGGGAGGGCGGGGAGGGCGGCCGCCCCGGGCGCCGACCATAGGGGGGGGGGCGCCAAAAGGGGTAGACAAAAATAATAAAGTTCATTTTCAGCTGCAGTTTTGAATTATAAACAGTCAAAGTAAAGAAATTTAACGTCTGAGAGCCTTTGTATACTGATTTAACTGTTTTCTACCTTGATTGTGTAACTGTAAAACGTATATCCTTAAGAAATAGTGACCGGAAAAACCGCTTTCCAGCTTTCCTAGATGGGTGGGGGGGGGCGCTTTTTCGAAGACTAAAATCGGAAAAATTCACACCGGATTAAGGAATAAATAACCGATATCACTCAGAAAAGAAACACGCTGAACTAAAGCGTATTTTACGATTGTGTAACATAAAAAAAGAGCTAGTGACGTTTAAAATCCACTCTACCATTTTTGTGCAAGATGGTGGGGAAGGGGGGTGGGCACTTTTTCACCAACAAAAACCGAAGGATTTGTACTGGATCGCTTACTAGATAACTCTTTTAACACTTAGAAAAGAAATCAATTGTATTAACACTTAATGTACGATTTCACTACCCAGTGTTGCTAAGTAATAACGCAACTAGTTCTTTGTACGATTCTTACTATTCTCTCAACTTCAACGTTAGAGATCAGATACTTTTACTTGATTGCATTACATCTTGCCTGGATTAAAGAGAAATAAATATAACGGATTCTTGTATTGGTATCCAATCAGTAAAATAGCATACGATCGCAGCGGGTGGGTGGGAAGCGACACTCTTTGTTAAAATTTGAAGAGAGAAGAAAATTAGTATATTGTACTGATTATTTACTTTGTTCAACTGATAATTCAAAATTGTAATATAGGCCTACAATGATCGAAATTGTTCTAAAGATACGCCAAAAAGTAGACCAAATAAGCTTGCACCTTCTACAAAATACACTCTTAAGCAGTGGTTCTTAACTTTTTGGAGAACCGAACCCTTCTTAATAGTTGTATCGTCCACACAGACAAAATCCGAACGTAAATCATAAAACGACTGTGCTAAACGAATTAGCACCGCTACAATTTTAATTTTTTTCTGACATAACTAATCATCATTTTTAAAGGATAATGCATCTTAACGGGAATTTTATTTGCGTCGAGTGAAGTTTTAGGGAACGACAATCAGCGTAATTGTTAATTTTTTTCCAGACTGTCGCACACACATACACACGTATATATATATATATATATATATATATATATATATATATATATATATATATATATATATATATATATATATATATATATATATATATATATATATGTATATATATGGGGGGGCGCCAAACTGAAAGTTCGCCCCGGGCGCCGGGAGGGGTTGCTAGGTCTCTGCATTCTCATCCGGGATTGACCAGTGACCATCCAATTTACTGAGCAGAGTAGGCGTGTAACTGACCTCTGAACCTGCCGGCAGTCTGTAATCTCAAAATTACGAGATCAGTCGTATGATTATAATGCAATCGAGTAAAAACACAGTTAACTGTATGTGGTGAATAGCATTCAGCGCCATATAAAGTTCTAAAATGTGGGCTTTGGTTAAATTCATGGTCTAGTTATAGAATAAATCTCACGTTACAAAATTAAATAAAAAGGCTTTTTATTACATTCACAAATCACAAAGAAATGAAAAATGAAAAATTGTATTAAAAATAAGAAATACAAATTTAAATTGCCAATAAAAGTAATTTTATTTGCCTAGAAAATACTAATTTTAATTTTAAAATTTTATACAGATTCATGTCAAAGCATGATTTACATGGTGTAGCCTTACTAAAGCTGGTATGACTAAACACAAAAGCCTGGAAGTTCACTCGTGTAGAATATATTCCACTTCATAAGGAGTCCATAGATAGGTTTATGGTCTATTACATAATATTAGACCTATTTTCAGTTGTCATCTTTTCATCTATGAGCGTGATCGAAGATAGGACTCGAAATTAGCCATCCGTGAAAACAGTTCGCCCTCGACGGCCCTCTGAGTCATCTATTGCTAGTATTTTTTATCTTGTTATCTCGCCTTTTATTAATTTAAATTAAATTGTGCGTCTTACAAAAGCATTAATTTAGATTTAATGGCAAATATTCTTGCATCGTCATCCATGATCTAAAACTGCACCGAATTTAATGTCAATCGGACAATGCAAAGTGGGTTAGATTAACATGTCAATATTTGTGAGGCTACAAACATAATTGTATTTAGATCACGATATCTTCACCGCAGCTTTCGAGTATCTATACAGTAAACACTCTAGCTATAAAATATGATATATGGCGCTCTTTTATACTAACTTTTGTGTATGTTTGTGCTTGTCTACATTGGCGTAATTAATTTAAAATAGTGTGTATTAGTATCATTATAAGAAAATCACTATAGAAAGCATGTAAGATAAATGAACAGCAATTTCCTAATGTATTTTCAGGTTGAAATGTCTACAGTTAATGAACTAGATCTAGTGTTATTAGGAAACACTGGATGCGGTAAAAGTTCCACAGGTAATTCTATCTTGAGGAATGATGTTTTTTATACTAGCTACAGAACACAGACTGTGACGAAAACTCACCCACAGTATGAATGGAGCAGGTTTGAAGATTGTGTATTACAAGTAGTTGACACTCCTGGTGCGTTTGATACCAGTAAATGTCAAGACATTTCTCGCAGCAGAGGAGCCATGGAAGATACTATGATCACTAATCCACAGGGGTATCACGCATTTCTTCTTGTTATTAAATATGCAACTAGACTTACTGAGCCAGATGAAAAAGTTATTCAGATACTAAAAACTATATTTGGAAACGATTTTTTAAGAAACTATGGCATCATTATCATGTGTAATGGTGACAAATTTAAAATGCATGCAATGAAAGATGGCTCAAATCTGGAGACTTACTGCAACAAGGAGACTGGTTCATTCAAACGACTGTTGGACGAGTGCTGCAACAGGATTGTTTTGTTCGACAACGTTACGAAAAATAAAGACGAACGGAACCAGCAAATCAAGAACCTGATTGATATGGTGAATCGTCTCCCAAATGGCGGTAATAGATACAGTTTTGAGGATTTTACAAAGGCGGAAGGGAAACGTAAAGACGTGTATAACAATTCAAAATTGCACATGATTGAAAAAGAGACATTGAAAGCTCAAAGATTGATTTTAGACGAAATCAAAAATTGTTATTCTGAACAAGACGAGAATAAAAAAATACAGTTATTGGAAAAGATCGTGGTTCGAACTGATGCTATCATTGAAAACTTGAATGAAAATGATCAGAATTCAAGAGCTTTACACGATATGTTGCATAACGTAACAGGGATCAGGAAAAATGTCAAGAAACAAATAAAATTATCTCACATAATTTTAAAAGACAAACACAGGTTGAAAGTTAGGGAAGAAAATATTGTAAAGGAGGTAGAAGACGTAATGAATAGAATGAAATGGGAAAGTGAAAAACACAAGCCAGATGAAGAAAAACTTAAACGTGACCTATCCCAAATAGAAAATCAATACAGGCAAATAAAGGCGGAGACGGATAAAGAATTTTTTAACAGATCTGAGGTCGATGTAGTCTATGTAGGTTCTGATGCCAAGTTTGATGAAGCTGACGGTATTTGTTTCGTTTCTTACTTCAGGTAAATTATTTCTGTATTCAGTGCAAATTGAACAAACTAAAAATGAAAAAAAAAATTGTGAGCTCTTCGTTTCATTTTGTAGCGATTTCGCAACAAAGTGAAATAACGCCAAATGAATTGACACAAATGTTAAAATCTATGTTTTAAGATGCAGTTCCATGTTAAATTCCATTCGACCCAGATTCATGCTCGAAAAAGACTGTAGCAAGGGTTCCCAATCTTTAGAAATGTTTGATCGAATTTGCCAACTAGTAGACTAAAAAAAGGATTCATTAAAATGATGTTTTAAAGCTTGTAATTTTTTTATTGATGGTTAAAAATTTCATATAGGCCTATTTAAACAAAATAATAAATAAACTATCATCTAGATACATTATTACGTTATAGTTTTCTCTAAGTTCAATTAAAAAACCTCATACTCTTTGGAAAATTTTATAAGACCGCGCATATTAAAGATGGTGAAATTCATTCTTTTGTATTACGGGAAATAAACAAGACATATCTATGTCTAATGTATATATACAGAGCTAATACAAGACATAGCCCTAGGTGTTAAAGAACAGATTTTGAATAAATTCAACAGATATAAGTTGGTGTTCACCATTTCTTCTCTTCGTGAAACATATTCATTCAGCTGCTATCAAAGAAAAGTTACTATTTGTAGTGCAATATACAAACAGTTAGGATATTGTGAAGATTGTTTTTAAAATGGAGGATTATAATTAATACGTGGTTGTAGATAGCATACCTAACAGATATGTACGAACAGAAACTTAAACTTTATTTAGAGAAAACAAATATTTTCGCATTTTACGATAATCCGGAGTAATGTTCATTCAATCTGCTAAATCAGCGAAGAATAAAAATTTTTTTGAAAAGTTGTCATGTTTGAGAAACTCTGTAGTGTGGTAGACGATTCTGACTGTAATATAAACAAAAATGTGAAGACTTTTTGGCATCTCAAACCCTCGAAAACGATCTCCGGCGCTTCTTCCCTTATCTAAAAGAAATAAACCGGGAGTGATCTCCCCTAAACTTTCTCGAATATTCTTATATAAAACAACAGGGGATGGGAACTCGGGATATAGATCTAGTTATGATTTTTAATCCATTTAAAATACTTAAACTTTTTAAAATAGAATAGAATCTCATAGAAAAAAGTATTGCGCACCAAGCGAACGCCGAATAAAGATGTTCATAATGGTGCGCAATATTATTAGTACTTTATAAATTTAGATGCGTTTTTAAAAAATCGGAAATAGCGTAAATTAGTACTTCCCGTCAACGGAAATTACTCAAAATTTAACAGAAGGTAGAGAATTAGATCTTTTACTTACAGGTAAAATTTCATTTATCTATCTGAAATAGTACTCAAGTTATAGGCTTTTGAAAAATTCAAAGTAGAAAAAGTACCATTTCCGGTTATCGGAAATCGCTCAAAAGTTGATACGGATCTACGATTTTGATAAAATACTTATATATGAAGTTTCATCAACCTAGCTGTAACGGTACTCAAGTTATCGTGTTTACGCACACACACACACACACACAGACACACACAGAGACACACAGATATACGGACAAGATTGCAAAATTATGTTTTTCCGTATCAGTGAGGTGTAAAACGTCGAGATTTGTAAAAATCTCGGTTTTTTTTTTGCACGATTACAAGACTTTCTCTATACTACGTATATACGAGAAAGTAAAAAAGTACACAAAACAAAATATATTGAATGCCTTTCGAGCTTTTGTTTCCTTTAAGCCTGCATATCTCAGCGAGCGTTGCTTTTCAAAAATTCACCATTAAAAAAAACCAAATGAATACATAAAATGTTCAGAATGACATGATGTTGGCGTTAACGGAAAATGTAATTGTATATGGATCGAGGGTCAATTAGAATTTTTTTTAAAGGGGTCGCAACTCGAAAAAGTTTGGGAACATGTGGACTATAGACCGGTGCAAGTTTGTTTCGTTTCACACAATTTGAATTTGATTCCGTTTGTTGCGATCGAGATTTTAATTTTTTTAGAAATAACTACAATTTTCAGGCGTGTTTCTCTTCAAAACAATTTCGTCTCATATATCAGGTAAGTAATTTTACATAAAAGTAAGTAACTTGTAAACTATTATGTTATATTTGTGCAGATTATATGAAATTACGGTAACATTTGCTACTTTTTGCAACGGCGGAACGTCCATCACAACAGCTGAAACAACTTTATTGATTTAGGCCTAGCAACTATTCGATAGTATTATAATTAATTTCTCGTCTTCTTCGTTGTATTTGTAATGCTGAAACTGATTTTCTCCAACACAACTAAGTATAACGTGTAAACTCAGATTTCAGCTTGTTTTTCTTTGTTCCCATAGCTTTCATCTGGTCAAGAACAAAATACAAGGCAGCAGTGTTTGTAGATGTGTTGCAGTTCCATAGCTACCAAGTCTCATCAGCACAGTATTAAAAATTTAACGACTTTTCGGTTTAGAAAAGGTGCTTTATTGACCAGAAAACAATCGTGTTATGCTATTGAAGAAAAATAATGTCATAATGTATAACAATTATAGTATAATAATAGAGTAATATTTACTAATTACTACTTAGAACAACGTACATATAATTTTCTATTAAAACATTATATAGGGTTCGGAGCAAATATGTTAAGAAAGTAGCAGAAAGTATCATTGAAGAAAATAATTAATAATACAAAATTTAACCTACATACTTAGCATATATATTATTTACTACATAGGCATACAGGTAAATATAAAATGATAAAGGTAGAATAATAATCCAACTTAATATATATATATATATATATATATATATATATATATATATATATTATATTTTATATATAAATTGTGTATATATATAAAATATAATATAATATATATATATATATATATATATATATATATATATATATATATATATATATATATATATATATATATATATATATATATATATACAAATATATACATATAAAATATACACAATATATATATATATATATATATATATATATATATATACAGAGAGAGAGAGAGAGAGATTATTTTTGCTACGACATTGTTTATTTATTATTACAGCAACATAAACAGCCGAACAGTTCTGTCTGAAATTGATCTGGAAGACTTCAGGCGGAAATATCAACCTAATAACTGTGGAATATGCAGTAGTTGTTAATATTGTTCAAGAAAAACAATGATATAATAATATTTTAGTTACATTTCTTACTTAGTGCTTAATCCACCTAGAATATTTAGCCTTTAGTATAATAAAAGTATCAGTGATACACTATTTTTTTTAATGATGTTAATTTAAATTGCGCAAGTGTGCAGATGTAGTATATATATATATATATATATATATATATATATATATATATATATATATATATATATATACTTTATTTTCACATTTGCAGAGAGGGAGAAAGAGAGAAACAGATAGAGATACTAAGATATAATTCAATATTTCTTTTAGTAGTGACATTATTTTTGTTTTTGATTTACTTGATGCCTATGATGAGCAAAGATTTTCACAGAAGAATTTCATCAAAAATGTCTAATTATTCAACTAATTATTTACCTGAAGTTGAAGGTGTTGCTGCCACTTAACACTTGAATATTGATGCAGAGAGAATAAAGTTACTGTTCGAAGCAAAAATAGCGACAGACTTTATTCGTATGATGTGCATTTATAAGTAGATGCTATTTTAGATAGTGGTAAACTAAAACATAAGAATGTTCTCTTGTGTTTGTAAGAATAAAAAAGTAAAATAGGAACTGGCTTAATTAGTTTTTAGTTCAATGCCTTTAAGATCTTCAAGGCTATTTTTATTCACACTATGTAATATTTTCCAACATTTCAATAATACAAACTGTGTTAGTAGTTAGTCTAATAAGTCAACACATACAAACACCATACATTACATAGAGGAATACAGATAAAGCTTGAAGTCTTTGATATAGCAGATATAAATCAATGTATTGGCATCAGTTCATTTCTCAGATTTTATTTCTCAGGACAAAGTGTTATTTAAGGACAGATATCGCCATTACAAATATTATAATTTTTTCCTACAAACAAGTTTAAATCCTTTAAAAGCACTTTACATTTAGCAACAACAAGAATATCAGCAAACTGAGATTGTTACTGGCTGGCCCAGGACAAAAATAGGTTTCATGACAAAGAAATATGACCTTAAAGTGGGTATATGGATGTTGTTTAAAATGAAATTTTCTCTTTTAAATTGCACAGATGTGGGATAAACATGTGTTTTACTTAAACCTATAATAAATCAATAAATGTCCAATAAAGGTAATTTTTTTTTCTAATTTTTTAACCCACAGTTGCATTATGTAATAAAATAGCTACATACATTTATTCTGCTAAATATATATCATTTGATAAAAAAATGCGATTTCCCTATTTTTTTATGCCTTCATCACACAACAGCCTACCGGTTGAGATTTTTCTCCTCCAAAAAATTCATCAAAATTAATTCATTGGAATGAAAGGTTACAATACATATTTATTTTAGTAATAATTTCTTATTCATGAAAGCCCACTAAAATTGCCCCTAGCTTTTATACTGGACGTTCTCTTGTTTTTCTTGGTATTGGTGTAAACACCTTTCACAAAAGGGTTAAGGGAAACGTTGCTATTCAGAAACTCTTTGTTATAAACAGTATCAAGTAAATTGTATTTTTGTAATTGACATGAAACAAAGTAATGATCAACAACTAAATTGAAAGATATGGATACTTATACTTTTTGTTGTCAGCATGAGCTAAGAGTTTACTGTTTACTAAAAAAAGGTAAAACGTAACTGATAAGCATTCTCTTAGGCCATTGGTTCCCAAAATGTAGGCTTTCTGATGGGTCGCCAACTGGTAGACTAAACCCTAGTAAAGAAATTAAAAACATAAATATTTAGAAAAATATTTGAAATTCGACTTTACTAACATCACTGGAAATGGAATAGAGAAG